GTATATGAGCATCCACAATATTAAGATGGAAAAAAGAAACCTATACTACAAGCATATATATGAGAAGATATGTGACCTTTTACCATATAATGCAAAAATATATTTTTATTTTTAATCAATTTTTGGACATGAGAGAAAGAAAATGATATTGGAGAAAGAATGAAATAAAAAAGAATAGTGAAAATGAAATATTAGACTATTTACAATAAATACATTAAAGGTAAAATCAGAATCTCACAGAACTACAATGTTTTAGTTTTTATAATTTATTTTATGTGATATTAGATAATTAAATATAGGGTCAATAAATACTATAGAGTCTAATTTCCCTAAAACGAACAGATAAAAGATATAACAATTAGTTTCAAATTTCAATAAGTTAAGTCATAACTTTTTCAAAGAAATGCATGTTATATATATGCAGAAGGCGAGAACCTAAAATGCTAAATGTGTTTATAATAAAGAAAATAATGTGAATGCACAACAAAAAGGAAAAAAAGATTTGTGTACCATACAAATTAAAACAAACATTTTCAAAATGATAAGAAAAAAGTCTATGAAACATACATTCTCAAATCAATAACCACTAGATTCTGACCCACACTCTGTGCGAGAACATTTTTTGTGTATGTTGTAAACTATATTTGGTTTTCATATTGTATCGTATATAATATGTTCTAACTTTAGATATTGTGTGTTTTTAGTTTGTAGGTAGAAATTGATTAGTTTGAAATGGTATGTGATTTTTTTACTTTTTAGGTTGTAGGTGGAAATTAATTAATTTGAAATACTTGACTAATGGAAGTACAAATATTTGACTATGTTGTATTAAAATTTATTGATAAAAATCGAGTAGTTTTATATAAGTTAATTGTTTTTGTTTAATTTTTTTCATTTTTCTCTTAGTTTAGTACATATTTTTGTTCTTTTTCTAAACTAACTGAGTTTTTAAGTTTCAAAAAAAAAACTAAATGAGTTTATTTGTCTAATTGGGTTTATTTGTTTGGTTAAGTGTTTTGATGATATAAATAGTTGTGG